CTACTCTCATAACGTCAGATATTAGGAAAATCAGACGATACAGAAGCAGCCCCACACCATAATGTTTCCACCGMCATGCTTCACTATTTTTTTTGTGTAGCGAGGATCGAATTCTTTACCTGTAAGGAGTCTTACATGCCTGGAATAGTCATTTCTATAATGGCAAATTTTGGTTTTGTCGTTAAATAGGATAATACGCCACTTTTTTTACTTTCAGATCTTTCCCAGGTGATGTGGTCTTTAGCAAAATTTTGCATCATCATAAAATTTTTGGTGCGCATCAAAGGAACCATTTTTTCGATACGACCTGGTAGTTTAGCCATATGTAGTCATCTCCTAATTGATGAAGCATTAATAATATTATCTATTACGGAAGCAATGACCTTTGAAAGGGTCGAAAAAGTTGCAATCCTTATAATGCGTCGGTCCAGTTTTAGGTTGGTTTTCGATGGACTTCCACGTGTTCCCTTTTTATTGTGCATCTTTAAAGCATTTTACACAACGTTAAGAGATCTGCTCATCAGTTTCACAATTTCACGCAAAGATTTGGAATTAGGGGGAAATAAAATTTTTTTTTTTGGCATGCATCATATTTAAAGTTACCATCTTAAGGTTACCATCCAGTTTTTTCCAAAATATCAAAAATTAATTAGTTATGACAGAATCTTCAAAATTTTTTGGGTGTACTTATTATTTTCATCATGAGTATAAATGTACATTTAAAATTTGCAGACTCTAGCTTAAAAGATGTAGACCATTTTCTATAACTGATTTTCGATACGGGTTTTTATCGATAAAAAAATAACGGGAGGAGTTATTGATTTTTTGTGATAAACTCGATATCCGCGCTATATATACGGACATTTACAAACAAAATTTGAAGTCTGTAGCTCTTATATCTTCTGAGATCGACGCGTTTATACATACGGACAGACAGATGGCCAGGGCTAAATCAAAATATATATACTTTATGGGTCAGCCACGCCTCCTTCTGCCTGTTACATACATTTCAACGAAATCATTATACCCTGATATCCCATTTTCAATGGGTTCAGGGTATAAAAATCGTTCAAATTAGTCTTTCATAACCCGATTTAGCTTGAGTGATACTTGATAAGTACAAATATCGAAACCAAAATATCGGCAGGATCAAGTACGACTATACTCTACACAGACTGGTCGAAGCGTATCTGCCAGACCTGTGGAATATCAGCTATGACGACATTCTAAGGCTGGAAATTCCTGAAGACTCGTTCCTAACTGGATATGCAGATCATATGGCGTCATCATTGCCAGAAATACCATAGAAGTCATAATCTGCACGCGGTCATGGCTTAGCTCTCGACGATTGGAACTTGCCACCCAAAAAACACAATTACTTCTGTTCACAGGGAAGAAGATTCCAACCGAAATAAAGATGCGAGTAAGCGGAAGCCTAATCCGGCAAACAGGAGAATTCACGGATCAGGTGGCAAAGACTATACGACAGCAAACCATATTCTCGCGGAAGGCAAGATGGTCATGTGAAAGGTATGGAAGGTGGATCTGCGAAAACTACCGAATCCTGTTTTTACTGCGAAAATTAAATGGACGACGCAGAACAGTCTTTCTTTATCTGCAAAAGGTTGTCAGAAGAAAGAACCGACTTAGCAGAAACTGCTAGCAAAGTCAAAGTATAGATATTAGTACAGCGAATGTGCCACAACGTAAAACTTCGCTGAACGCAGGCAGAGGGCAACGCTCATTTAAAACACATTGCGGTGCTTCACCTTGAAGGTCATTGCGCGATAACTCCTGGTTCCAAGATGGATTCGAGCCCTAGACGAGAATCGTACGCGGTACGTTCTGAAATATTTTTGTTGTTCGCACATTGCGTTAAAAATCCACAAGGCATATTAACATCCACTTCTCATAACAAATTCTTATTTGTTGGCTAACACTGCTAACCGCTTTTTTATCTCAATTTTAATTAAAGTTAGTTAGCGCGTGATATCCAGAGACCTCAAAAAATATCTAACTCTTATAGGTTCTGAGACCGGCACGTTCAGTCAGCGCGTCGCCCTAGTCATTATACTCTGATTTACCATTTTCATGGTACACAAAATATTAAATATGGCTGATAAATAAATCAACATACTTACATGCGCCTTAAGTTTCTCTGATGCAGACTCTTGCCTGTCGGAAATTGAACATTGCACTGTACCAAGATTATGCAGGTAATTTGCCTCAGCAAACCGGATTTCAGAAATCTACAAAAGTACTGTTGAAAGGGCTAATAGTTAGATAGTATATGTATTACTTACGTAAAGACTGACTACTTCATAATGTATATCTGGGATTAAATTTGAATAATACTGAACATATCTACGTTGAGATGGAATTGTAACACCTTTCCGATCTATTGTACGTTTCTCATCATAAAAAGCTAAGGCTTCATCTGCTGTATTCAAGAACTTACTATGAACCAAGTATGCACATATCATAGTACCTGTTGATTAAACATATTTTAAAATTATAAAACGATAATGCAATGTAGGCTGGCAAAACTTACAAATCGAAATAACAATGTTATTTTATTTAAAAAATATAATTTACGATTCCGAGCTTCATAGATATTTTAAAAATTCATAAAACCAAAAAATTTCTTACAGTTCGTAAGAATATTAGTTTTAGGCCGCGATAAGCGATGCGATAATATGGAGCGACAATAAGCGAGAAAGCTCTACATGCTGATTTACATGTAATCGCCTAAAACATGTCACACTGTTAGCGAAGCGAGAAGAGAGCCAAAGCGACAAGTAAAGCGAGTTGCGAGAATGCATTTCTGAAATGCTTTCTCGCTTTATCGCATGATAAAGCTATTCTGATACGTATGTTTTCGTTGCGTGCTGAGCTTAAATAACCGTAGTAGGTGAAATATATTCTTTTTGACAATTCAAGCAATATTTCGCTCTTTCACTCTGACATGCATCGCTTATCGCGGCCACTCTGACATTAGGCTTAGACCAATACATTTTTATATACGCTCAATATTGAACGCTTCTTAAAAGAAGGAAGAAAGCTCTAGTCGAGAGTGCTCGACTAGATACTACCCTGACCCAAACTATAAAATAAGCACATTTAGTACGGTTTAAAATTTCTATTTCGATGTATAAATGAAATAAAAAACTCATATGTCTTGCAAAAACTAATGACATGAGGCACTTTTACAAGTTGTAATTTGGAAAATTAAATATTTAGAAAGAATGAAAATAAACATAAATTGCGCGCTCGAAGTCAAACCCAACATCGATTTTTAAAGGTAATCTCGACATCCGCGCTACAAATACGGTCATTTAAAAAAATGCAAGTCTCTAGCTCTTATATCTTATGATATCTACGCGTTCAAACATAATATGGGGTCTGCCACGTCTCATTCTGCCTGTTACAAACTTTTAACAAACCCATTATACCTGCTGTTAATATGCTGACGTTCGTTTAGCTACAATTAGTTATTTCTTACCGGTTCTTCCCTTTCCAGCTTTACAATGCACAGCTACGACATTTAACGGATCTCTATTAAGCCAGGATTCAACGTCTTGGCAAAAACGTTGCATCAGTACAATAGGAGGAGGATTGTGATCCTCAAACGGGTATGTTGCAACATTCTGTAAATAAATATATTTGAATTAAGCTTGAACATATTAAATTTCGTATATTCTACCCCATGAAATTTATTAATGTCATAACTCCGTTCTTGACACAGGTTGTATATTCTGTAATGCCCTCCATGATTCTCTTCCATAAATTTATAAACATCCTCTAGGCGATTTCTGTAAATGCCTTCAATAATGTCCGGAGCAGGATATCCCATCGCAATTATTTTCGGGCAAATGTCTAAAATATATTTTTAAAAAATTTGTCTGAGATTTATTTATTTATTCTTAATAATATCTTCACAGTTTAGCTTAACTCCCAAACGCAAATAGAATTGAATATTTTAATTTATGATAACTTTGTGTTTTAAAACAAGTAGAAAACTCTAGTCGAGACTGCTCGACTAGGAGATACCCTGAACCCTCTAATCTGATATTCTAATAACTCTGCACTTCTTTTCGGCACACATACATACACACGCACGTATTAGAACGCGTTCTGCTAACTGCGCAGTAGGCAGCGACTGCGCTTGGGCAGCGCTGCAGTGTGGGCAACATCATAAGAATTTATTTGTTGAATAATTTAATTTCTAGACGTAAATCTTACTGAAACTTTCAGAGCGTAATCATGTGGTGAAAATGTACATTTCAAAGCACAAGTCTATAGTACTTGAAATACGCCTTTTACAAAGGTGATGGTGAGGGGTGGATATAAAGGTGGGGGGTAAATTACAACAAAAATCGAAATTATATAAAATACATAAAAGTCTATATTTAAAATTTGCAAGCTCTGGCTCTAAAGGTGTAGGAGATATAATTAAATAACTAGCTTTCGATAAGGTTTTTGATCGATAATAAAATATCGCGAGTAGTTATCGATATATAGAGAAAAACTTGATATGCGCGTGATATACACGGACCTAGGAAAAATTCAAGTCTCTAGCTCTCTTCTGAGATCGAGGCGTTCATACATACGGACGGACGGACAGACGAACAGACAGACGGACAGGGCCAAATCGACTTAGCTTGTCACCCTGATCAAGAATATATATACTTTATGGGGTCTGCCACGCCTCCTTCTGCCTGTTACATACTTTTAACAAAACCATTATACCCTGATTTCCCATTTTCACTGGGTTCAGGGTATAAAAAGATCACTGAAATTTACAAATATTGAATTAGGCTGAGATAATTGAAAAAATATAATATACAGTAGAATCCGGTTATAACGACTCCGCTTAAAGCGTCCAACCGATTAAGTCGACGAAAATTCGATGTCTTGGTTGGTCCCCATACANACGATTTTTTTCATATTTTTGAGTCAATCACCGGTTATTACGACGTGATAACAAAAAATCCCGAAATAATGACAACAAATTTCAGCATAAAAAGACTCTGTTAGAAATGTATACATGTATGTATTGATCAGTGATCAGTACCCTTGATTGTGTGCGTAGCAACACCACAAATGCTGCTAAGATATAGAGAGGGAGAGAGACAAAGTACAATGCCGACGTCACAAAAATGTTTCTAAACCATGTTATTGAAATAAAAACCGTACAAAAATGAAAAAAAAAAATATTTTTTACTCTTTGTGGTTAAGCGTCCTCCGGGTATAGCGACGTAAAATCGACGGTCCCTTGAGTGTCGCTATAACCGGATTCTACTGTATTTCTATTATAAAGCTTAAAAAAATATGCATTTAGAGTAATTACATGAAAGATCCAAATTAAATCCTTTTTCCTTGTATCGTATGCGTTTTTTGCTCACAACATTTCGTAACGCATTAGACATTATGGATATTGTGTTTGCCATATTAGTCTCCAAATATGATATTGTCTTTTAAAAATTATAATTTTAATATTATTATATCTATTTGTTTTGATTTCTTTTTCATTATTTATTTTTCCCTTCATATCAATAATTGTATGACAAGCGTTATTGTATGAACCATTTTTAGTGAAAGCATGTAGTACCTGAAAGAGAGGATTAAAAAAGAGTTAGTTTAACTTTCAAATGTTCAGATAAATAAAATTAATGTATTCCTTATAAGCAAGACTGCTTCAGTAAAATTTTTGCTTATACCTTAATTTCTTTTCCCCATTATGTACATGACTAGAGACTTAGATAATGCGGAATATGATTTGCAAATTTTAATAATTAACTTTAAAATTATTTTGAGCCTTTGATATGAGGATGAACTTAAAACTAATGGTATACTATATTATATATCAGACACTGTATGCGTATATATATATCAGTTAGCCGAGCAGTCTGAACTACAGTACTATAAGAGTAAGAGTTAAACGATAAAATAATTTTAAAATTTTGTTTAATTATTTGGTGCAACAATTTCTAAGTAGTTGTTATACATGTATAAGTAAAATCAAATGGATGTCAATCATCTTTAAACTACTAGACTCAAAATGTATAAACATATAGGAGGTAGAATCTCTAATCTATCTATATAAATATA